ACACACACACACACACACACACACACACACACACACACACACACACATTTAGACACACATCCAGGTGGACTGGGTGCAGTAATCCTAATAATTGTTCCGACAGCAGTGAGGACAGCTGTGAAAGCCTGAATGACAGACTGGACAGAGAAATGGCCTCATTCACTCATTCACTAACACCTGCTTATACAGTGTAAGTGCAGTGTGTGTGTGTGTGTGTGTGTGTGTGTGTGTGTGTGTGTGTCATGGTGTTTCATCATCGTTCAAGCCTTCATTGGGAGGCCGTTTYATCAAACGCTGAGTTATTCTGTTTAATATGTTCATGTTGAATAGTGAACTTAGACTTTAGCAATAAATATACACAACATGCTCTACAGTTTCTCAGACACTCCCTTTGACCTTTCAAGTTCCAGCAAATTAGACAGGACTGATACGAGGAAGAATAAGCACACTAAAGGAGAAAGAAAAAATGATATTTGAAAAGGTAAGGGAAAACAACTATGGGAGGCAGGCTTTGAGTAGAGAAGCAGAGAGGACAGAGGGGACAGGATAAACCTAGTAACTTTTTAATTTTCTGTTCCAGGATACACTGCCTCCCCTTTTCATATTTCATCTCTCCTGCTATTTATATTTAAAATAAAACTTTGCTGAATTATTGATTAATCAAGCCAGGGTACAGCGTTCAAATCCTAACACTCATCTGCACTGCCTAGTCAAACACATTCATTTTTCAGTATAGGCACAACGTTGGATTCTGTCACAGTTTACATTGTAGTGCATGGTGAAGAGAGGATTGACCTGTTCAAAAGATAGTGAAACAATATGCTTTGGCAAAATTTGCATATATTCAGAAATAGGATGTATTTCTTTGTCAAATACGTGCATTCGGTGGGATGATAGTGGGATGAAAAATGGCAAAATGGGAAAATACAAACACACAGTAGTAATTAAGTTTGTCTGGTTACCAAGCTTACTGAGCACAACATCAAACCTACAAATGCAGATAATAACTTCCTGAAGTAAAGTAGAACTTATTGGGTCAACATGTCACTATACTGAGATAACATAAAGGTTTATATACCTGCTACCACAATGTGAAACTATATAAGCTAACATATAAGCTATATAACCCAACTAAGAGTCTACATCCTGGATGGCAGCACTGGGAGGCTGCACAGTTGTACTTTGAGCTAAATGCTAACATGGGCACGTGCTTACAGTGACTATGCTAACATGCCAATCTTAAGCAGGTATAAAGTTTGCCAAGCATGTTAACATGCTAACATTTGCTAATTAGCACTAAACACAAAGTACAGCGAAGGCTGATGGGAATGGGATTTGCTTTACAGGTACTGGTGCTAGATGACAAGTGACAGGATAGCAGAGTCATTACAATTCATCCTATGAGGAATATAAATATTTGGACCATATTTCACAGCAACCCATTCAACAGTTGTCGAAATATTTCAAGAAAAAATGTCAACCCTTTCTTTTTCTTCTTCCCAATGTTTCTATATGTCTCTGTTGATCCATTCTCCTTCATCATCTTTAAATATGATCTCCATCTTTTCCAATCCGATTCACCTTTTTTCGTAGACTAGAACTTAAAACTTAGTAGCAGTAAACAGTAGGTAACACGGTGTGATCATCTTTTCTCTAAAATACTGAAGAAACCACTTTATCTGCTGGTCATTTTATCTATTTTTTACTCCCTCTGACATTTTTCTCTCCCTCTCTTTCTTCTGTCTATTCTCTCTTTTCATCCACTTTCTCTGAGAGCTGCAGGCCTTAACCCACATGATACAAACACACAGTTGCATACATACTCTTTACAAAATATGACTTCTTTATATCTGCACGTGTGTGAGTTAATAGCTTTGATTTGTCACGGTCTAAATAACATTTTGAGCCATTCTTACTCTTTGCTCAGTGTGAGTATTTTTGTCCCGTGTATGGTAGTAGTCCTTACATATAACCCTCTACGGGTTACTATATATAACCCTCTACGGGTTACTATATATAACCCTCTACGGGTTACTATATATAACCATCTACGGGTTACTATATATAACCCTCTACGGGTTACTATATATAACCCTCTACAGGTTACTATATATAACCCTCTACAGGTTACTATATATAACCCTCTACAGGTTACTATATATAACCCTCTAGGGGTTACTATATATAAACCTCTAGAGGTTATATATTATCTCTAGGTCTATCTTGAGGCAGTGACAGTACATTACAGTACTGTACTATGAACAACTCTACTCCCCGGAGACCCCGAAGGTGTCACGCTGCCTCAAAGTAAATAAACACGAGTCATTCTCGATCTGCCTGACTGACTGATTTACACCCATCCTTGCCTCTTTGTGTCTTAACTTTCATCTGTTTTTCTTCTCAGATTTTCTTCCCTCTACAGCACACTACATTTTCGCATCGTCCCTTCCTTCCCTGTCACCTTATATATCTCTTTCCTTGCATGATATAATACATACATCCTGAATTCTTTATTTTCATCTTCCCTTTCTAACTTCCTTTATTTCCCATTCTGTTGCTTCCTCTCCTCCTTCTTTTTACCTCTAAGCCTGTGTCTGGATCAGTAATGAGGAGGCGAGAGGGTAGTTGGCCTTTACACTCGTTTCATTGTAGCATGATCAAAATCCACTGCCTTGCTTGGTCTACAGTCTTTATCTTTTTATCTATCTTTTTTCCATCCTGACCTTATTTGCATGCTTTCTTCTCCTTATCTATTTCCATTTCTTGCTCATTGTGTCCAGCTCATTATAGTGGCCTTTTTATTTCCCCTTCATCTTTCCGTCTTGCTCTTTCTTCACCTTTCTCTTATGGACAAAGAATCCATGAAAAAAACAAGTTTGCTTTGCCTCTTTTTACAAATTTGTAAAAATGAGGCTTCACTCATAGCATTGCATTGTCAGTTCAAAATGTGCCTGTACGGAACGACTTGCTTGTCCGTCGTTATTGCTGCTTGCAGCTTTCTCGAGAACCTTTCATGCCCGGTATGCTGTTTGGCAGTGTAACAGTTGCATTTAACTCGGAAATCGGATGTCAGAGCTAGGAATGACGTCACACCCGAGATGACTTTGTTCAAGTACATTACGTTGAAAATTTTAATTGAGTTTGCTCCAGCCCGGTAATACCAGTTAATAGCAACGTATTACACCGGTATTGTGCGCAATCAAACACAGACGTAACATGTCCACAGATAGAAAGTTAGACAGTACTGCTTGTATGGCTGATTTAATGAGACACAAAGAACTGCTTCTAAAGCATATTACTACAGCTTTTTTACTGTTACAGAGCAGCCATCTAGCTTATAGCATTCTATCTGACAAAGCAAGTTGGTTTGTTGCTGCCCGTCTAATGATTTCATAGGACGACAGACAGAGCTGGAGGTAGTTTCTAAAAGACCAAAGAAGATCAAATAGGATATGAAATATTGGTCTATAAACACTGACAAATACTGAATCCTCAGAGGAAAGATGAGAGGTTCAGATCTAACTGCATCCACAAAGTGAAGAGGAAAAAGTTCAACAATGGGAATGACGAGCTTTTTCTATTTGTGCTGAATGGTATCGATTGTCTGGGAGATGATATAAGCCTTAATCTGTTTGTTTGTATTTTGTTTGAAACACAGGCGCATGATAAACTAGCAGTATGTGACACTCTAAATATTTTTCAATGTTGTTGCCGGCTCGCACTGCAATTTCAGGTGCACCTTAAGTGATTCTGGTTTGGAAAAAAGCTATTTAACGTGGACTTTTGGAAGATCAATCAACAAGCTAAAATAGACCAAAATAAAAATTGAAAATAAAATAAAATAAATGGAGCTTCGAAGCTTCGAACTATTCAGTACAGCTCTACGTATTTTCTTACATTGATAAGTTTCATATACTGTTAAGGCCTACTCATAACGAGGCCACTGACGTCCATTGATGGACGGTAATGAATAATGTTATTATTGTGAAGGGAGAGAAGGGCTTTCAAAACGCTAGTAGCCACAGGGCCTTATATTGAGGCGCTTCTGCCTATATTGTAGCCTATTATCTAGCTGTTGGTTGGTCTTTGAAATGCGTGCAGGAGTTTATTGGTGGCATTGTTGTGTCGGTAAAATTAGTGCAAATGAAAATTAACCAATGTCTTTCTCGCTCGCTCAGTAGACTGCAAATGTGCGAACATGGAAACTATGCCTATAGACATTAAAGGTAGCCTGTTAGCAGGCGTTTCACGTGCCTACTGTGAAATAGAATCCTGCCAGCGACATAGAGGATTACAAAACATGAAAGCAGCAGGACAATGCGGTAAAATTGGGCAATATAGCCACCCAAACTGACATTTGGAATTGAGCAGTAAAACAGCAAGAACAGGTAAGTGCCTGGTCATTGAGTAATTTTCAAATTTTGCATCCGTGGATAGTTTGTGGATAGCTTTTGTTTTTTATTCACGTAAAACGACATTGTGAACGACAATATGTTGTGAAACACGTTTTTCTTGCTGGAATACATACATACATGTATCTGTGTGTGAGAGACATTGTGTGTATACTGTGTGTACACTGCACTGCATGTACGTGTAACACTCATCTTACCTCCACCAGATGTGGCGTGGGGTTGAAGCCACACAGGTTACACACTTGGCCTTGGCACTGCGTACAGGTGTTGTAGTTGGGCGGGTCGGAGCTGCCGATGTTCAGTTCTGTTTTACAAAGAGGACAGTTCACTTTAGGCTTCACAGGCTCTGGAGCAGGCACAGGGGCCACCACGGGCTCCTGCTTCTGCAGCGCCTTTTGCAGATGAGTAGGTGTTTGCTGATGTTGCTGTCCTTGCGGCCCTTTTTGATGATGCGCGGGCGACTGTTGTTGCGGCATTCCTTGTTGATGGGGCATGGTCTGCTGCTTCTGGGTTGATGCATGCGGTGCACTAATTTGGGAACCTCCCATTTGGCTCAGTGCATGAGGACCCCCCATTTGGCTTGATGGATAAGGGTCTCCCATTTGGCTCTGTGTATGAGGACCCCCCGTTTGGCTCGGTGGATAAGGGTCTCCCATTTGGCTCTGCACATGAGGACCCCTCAGTTGGCTTGATGGATAAGGGCCTCCCATTTTGCTCGGCGCTTGAGGGCCACCGATTTGGCTCGGCGCTTGAGGGCCACCCATTTGGCTCTGCAATTGAGGGCCACCCATTTGAGTTGGACCATGAGGGCCCCCCATACTGAATGGTTTGGTGCCAGGGGCCCCTTGTTGTTGCTGCCTGTTGTCAGCAGTTGTATTACTGAACACCACCTTGCCTCGTGCAGGGCTTGGCTGGGTGGAGGCAGTGGATAGAGGGTCAACATTGATCAGGGTACTCGCCTGATTGAGCAGCGATGCCCCGAAGCCAAACAGTTTGGTAAGACCGTCCTGAGCAGGAGGAGGGGCCTGACTCTGAGGTCTGTGGGCTGGGGAGGAGCCAGCGCTTCTGGTCTGGTCATGGTGGCGCGCCATAGGCTGGTGCATTGGAGAACTGCGACCCAAATCGGGCTGGGACGGAGCCTTTACCAAGCCAGGGAGGGGCACAGCGCCAGGGTGGGGAATCCGTGGTCCCCCAGGCTGGTTGAGGCCTCCTGTAGGACCTCCAACAGCTCCTGGAGCCCCAGTACCTCTTTGAGAGTATGGGTCGGACCTCATGCCCTGCTGAAAGGTCCCTGTCTGAGTCTGGGGGCCGCCAGGGACTGTGTGTCTCTGCAAGCCTGGAGAGATATGAGGCTGAGGCTGGGGCCCTTGCTTAGACTCAGGGTACGACTGGGGCTGAGACTGGGGTTGAGAGTGGGGATACTGATGGGACTGGGAGTATGGCTGGGCCTGGGAGTAGGGTTGACTCTGGCCGTAAGGCTGAGACTGATGCTGCTGCTGATGTTGCTGCTGCTGCAGATGTTGCTGCTGTTGCTGCTGCCGCTGGCTGGGCTGACTCTGTGCCAAAGGTTTGGGCTGTGCCGCTGCTGCTGCTGGCTGTATTGGCTGAGGTGCAGGCTGCTGAGGCTGAATGATGGGTTTGGCTTGGTGGGACGGAGAGTGAATCTGCTGTTGGCTCTTAGATCGAGGCGTGGTCATATCAATGCCAAGAGCTCTTTGCATCTGACAATTCAGACACAGCCACTCCTGGACCTGCAGACAGAGAACAGACAGGTTTGCTGTTAGTTTAACCTTCCCCTGGGCAGAATCATTTTAGCTTGTAAATATCAGAGATATTCTGTATCAGCTTGTTCCAACTCATCATTGATGCTAAACAATCTATACTGCGGGAAATATCTAATACCTGTGTAATAACTTATGACTGTACCAATCCCTCAAAATATAAATGGAAATATTTAAGATGTATTGTGCATCATCGAATATGTAACTATCCAAATTTAGCGTGACGTATTTGAGATCTTTGGGTTGCAGCAATGCTTGGCAACATGTGTTTTCACTGACTGGGCCATTGAGGATGAAGAAGTTATGATTGCTGTTTAATTTAGCGATGTTAGAAAAATTAAAGCAAGTGAAACGATTGATAAAATGGAAAATAAAGATCTGTATGAATCTGTATGATTAATTGATTTTCCCTTTCAAAGCTGATTGCTATTGATTGCTTGAAATATCATCGCCAACTCAGACAGAGTGCACCAGTATCTCTTCCCAACTACATGGACACTGTATTCATTCAGCCAACTTCAAAGCTGCAGACGATCGAGAGAAAGTGCATTTGGATGGCTACACATAGAATATGGTCTATCTTTCTTCCCGTTGAAAACAGAAGTGCAGAGAGAATAGTTGTAATCGACCAGAAATAGAAGGAGAAATAGGTAAATCCACCACAAATTGACTGCAGCGCTGAGTGATTGCTGAGCCGAAACCGCAATCTGAGTGAAAAAGCATTACATCTCTCACAGACACAGACGTAAATCCACACGGGTACACAGGTATGCATGCACATCAAGTGACACAAGCAAGACACAAATAGATGTAATAACAGATGCACACAGTCAGAAAAACGAATGCGGAACATCCATCAGCGTCTAAAAATAAAAATAAAAGCATCACCCCTCCTCCTCCTCCTCTTCTCCATGTCTTCCTTCTCTTCTTCCTCCAGATGAGAGCTGATACTCCCTTGAGTCCGAACCTTGCTTTGCTCTCTAATTCCTCCCGACTGCAAAAAACACACAGCTCCTCTCTGAACCGTGTCAACCTGCTGTTGTCCTGTGTGTCCTACTGTGGCTTTGCATCCACCACAGCCACCCCAGCCGCCATATATATAGTGCTATTTTAGCTCCTCTGTAACCAAGAGCAAAGCTAGTAAATCTGTGCACGTTTCAAGCGTTTCTCCAATCCCCTTTCCTTCCCACAATGCAACGCGCAGACGTACTGTATCACCCCGCCCGGAATCCACCGAAACCCCCACCGATTTGTTTTTTGCTGAAGGACAAGTGGCTCCGTGTATTTAAAGGGAAGATGTGGGGGAAAAAAATGTCTGCATCAGTCACGTACCCAAACTAAGCACTTCCTCCCACTGTGCTGTCCCAGCCTGCTTTGCAGTCTGGCATTTTCTAGCTTGGCAGCATTACTGATCCCATTCTGTTAACTCAGCGGCTACAGCCTGACATCCTCCTCTCCTCCTTAACACATTCTCTTTGTAGCCGTCTTTCCTCTCCTCTCAGCTTCTCTTCTCCCTGTTTTTTTTCTTCACATCCCCCCTCACACTTTCCCATTTTTCTTCTTTTCCGTATTTACCCCCATTTTTCCGTTCTCTCTCTGATCAGCTTGAAAATGTAGGTCTCGTTCCTTGAATAGCTGAAGCGGAAGGAGATTTGAGAGTATAATTTTGCTGTGCATGCTCCTCCCACGTTGTGCTGCCATAATTACATCTGATGAAGATGGCAAGAGGGAGATGAAGAGAGGTAGATAGGGAGAAAGAAAAAGGGGGTGGGGGAGCAGGTTTTAATGAGTCCCTGGCTTTCCCTCTGCTTCATAAGCAACATCACCAGAGACACTTGAATGAATGATGGATAAAGCTAGGGATGGAGGGACGTGAAAGAGCAGGGAGGAGATGGAGCGAACACTGGAGCAAGAGGAGTCAGCAGTTTCTTTAATCCGGGCAGCTCTTCAGCTCTCATCAAGTCGAGCTTAATCAACAGCAGCACCGAATATCCACCTCTGCTTTACTGTGGTTAAAACCAGTTAATCCTAAACACACCTGAGTCCTGTTGCTAACAAGTGAGGAAGAATCACGTTGCTAGGGGTTTGTTTAAAGGTTCAGAATTCATCTTACTGCATAGAGGCACTAACCCAGGAAGGGAGTTTTAAAGAGAGTGAGTGGAGATGAATGAACTCTCCACTGCAAAAGCAAAGGAAACTTGCTTGATCATCTGACCCTCCAAAACCGCCCCAGGCCTCATGTTGAAAACCACAGCTCTGACAGAGAATGATAAGCATGTCATAGTTTTGACAAGTGTCTTATGGACCTCTGAGCATTAGAGAACAGGTGTCACCTCAAGTTATAGCCAATTTACTGCTTTATGGTACTTTACTACTTTTCTATGTAGAAAAAGGTTAGTAATTTTCCTGAAAAACTAATTTTTGCAGAAGCAAATTTGAGTCTATTTACTGACATTTTTTGTGTACTTATATTTAAAGTGTTGTAATGTTTATGCAAAATTGAAAGCACTGCGGTTAATGGCGTTAAATAAAGATGAAACTTAGAGAAATGGAGCTGCAGAACTTCTGGGCATCAAAGAGCATTTGGACCCCACGTGGGGGTGTAACCTCCAGCGTTTTAGTACTTCTGGTTCCCTGGTCTCAAAGTCGATGTTTTTTTGAATGGGTTTTTCATTAGATACCTAAAAAAAGGTCTGTTCAAAATCTGGCACCTTCCCGCAGGTTTTTGAGGAGATGTGGATGTGTTTATTTGTGCTTCATAAGGTTTTATTCTTCTGATTCACGGCTGCCGTTCCCTCTCTTCATTCTCTCTCTCTCTCTCTCTCTCTCTCTCTCTCTCTCTCTCTCTCTCTCACCTGTTGAGCTAAAGAGGAGGGGTGAATTTTGAATTCTGTTTCCAAACAGCAACCAACAATGTGCTACATATTTCACCATTAAGGAGGTACTTAATATACTGTGCATTTTGGCATCTGTTCGAGTGCCAGACTTATACAAAAAGAATCCTATCACCTAACAATAAGACGTGTTTTCAGCGCCTTCCAAAGTGGCCCATATTTCCGTTATAAATATGATTCATGAGAGCATTTTTTGATCGGCCACTTTTATGGTTACGGTCTGGATAATTTAAAGACCAACTGAATTTAATTTGCATGTTTTATTTCTGCTACAGTATGCATACCTGCTCTGTAGATCACATGCTGTGTGTTCTCCTTAAAAAAAAAGTTATCAATCCATCAGAATGCTATGTTGATAGACTCCATATAGCCAAATGAAACTGTTTCATTTTATAACTTATTTGTACGAAGCAGTAACGTCACCATTCTATCATAGACAGGCGGTCACACTGACTAACAGCCAGACAGCAGGCTTCTACACAACACAAGAGCCCAGACTTTGAATAACACCTGCTAGCTTTTCTGCTAAAGTCTCCTTCTTTTTCTAACTTACGAACATGGACACACATTTTGCCCTGCACTTGTTGAACAAGCCAAACACACTGCTGATGTCAGTTTTGTTCTTGGATAGCTAACTACAGAAATAACTCTCTACAGGTGATTTATAAAGGTAAAGTGCAGGTTTGTTCACTTTGTCTCTCGTCCAAAGTGAACGAGAGACACTTAGGAGCTCAGCCTGTCAACCGCTTAAAAAATTGGCAAACAATTTGTATTTCTGATACTTCCCCCAAAGACCTTTATTTCTTATTCAAAATTCATTGGGAATTTGGACTGCAAAAAGGGATGACTAAATGTGAATTCAGTTGGACTGCAAGGCAACTAAAACGAGGTGTTTATTGTCAAGAATAGGTCGTGGTCGTGGTTAAAACAAACTAATGTTACATGTTGGTTTGAGACAGAGTTGAGCGGCGGTGTTATTCAGACACAGTGACAGTCAACAACATAACACACTATGAGCTATACTTGTTCCTATACAGTACAAAAGGTCACACAGGACAGTTAAAGCAGCAAAATACTAATTACTTGAATCAATTTGAAAAGCCAGAGCTGCATTTTTGTATGATTAGAGATTCAGCTCCTGAATGTGATATCAGGTTACCTGCTTGGAAATAATATGACAAAAAGGTCCCGCACAAATCAACTCACACAAGTGGAAGTACGCATGCACACACAGAGACTTATTTATACCCAAGTCTAGAAATACTGCTTTCCGACACACACACACACACACACACACACACACACACACACACACACACAGACACTGCAGACCATGACTGCAGCCTCTCATCCCCAGCTTATCTTAAGAAGCTCAGCTCTCCTCAAACCTGCAGGACTCAGATTTCCTCAATTTCTGTTCTTTCTCTCACTCTTATATCTCTGCAGACAACTATCCATTCACTTAACCACACACACACACACACACACACACACGCACGCACGCACGCACGCACACACACACACACGCAGGTCTGAACTCATCTTGTAACAATCATTAACTTGGACGTCAGTTCCATCTATTCAAGAGGTTGAATTCTGTCATCTCGAACACACACACATTAAAAAGAACATTTCATTTGATCATTTCAAGTCTACAGTTGAACAGATGTTGAACTGGGAAATGGATTTGATGATGGTCAAATTAAAAAAAAAACATTACTACCGCTACGTCTTGAAAGACCAATACTGTTGTAGTAATAGAGAGACTGGACTTTACTTAGGAGTCAAAGTAGAAAGTCAATTTTTTTATAACCACAACACATGTTGATGTTGATTTGTTGTGTCACACTAAACAATGTGAGGCTGCTTTGTTAGGATATTCAGATTCAAAACATTAATTTGTGATCGACAACTTCCCGTTCTGTCACCTTTAGTGCACCACTGGGGAGTTTGTGTCCTGCAGTTTAATTCAATCGTTACAAAGCTTTGATTAATACGTGGACATGAATAAGATAATTAAATAGAACACAAGAGCACAATGTTCTTCTTAGATCTAGCCTCTTAATTTTGACTTCA